TAACAAATAATACGCTTTCCACGTTCCCCACGCACCGGTGCGCAAACTCACGTATCTTCCCAGATTTTGTTTTGAACGCGGCTCAAGCCAGTTTTAACACGTAGGCTNGACGAAAGTCTACAACCAATGTGTGTTACCTGTGATGACTTATGGCTCGGAAACGTGGCCCCTCACTATAGGCCTTATACAGAAGCTCAAAGTTGCACAGCGTGCTATGGAGAGGGCTATGCTCGGTGTTTCTTTACGAGATCGAATCAGAAATGAGGAGATCCGTAAACGAACTAAAGTCGCTGACATAGCCCGACGGATCAGCAAGCTGAAGTGGCAGTGGGCTGGGCACATAGTACGCAGAACTGACGGCCGATGGGGCAGCAAGGTTCTGGAATGGAGGCCACGTACCGGAAAACGCAGCGTGGGACGTCCACCCACAAGGTGGACCGATGACCTGATAAAGGTAGCGGGAAGGCGCTGGATGCAGGCCGCTACCAACCGTGCGATGTGGAAGTCATTGGGGGAGGCCTATGTTCAGCAGTGGACGTCCTGTGGCTGAAATGATGATGATGAATGATGATTGAAAAGTGAGGAGGAAAGTTCGCGAGTTGGAAACTACTTGGAAGTGAAACTGCTCGTTTTTCATATGGATGAAACGGAGTTGGTTGTCACAGATCTGCGTTTTGTTAAACTGAAATTCAGACATTTTAAGTGACTGATGTATTTTTACAAGCTTTTCCGAGTTTATGTTTCCATCCGTTACGATGTCTGCGGGTAGTCAACTTTTGCAAGTTCACTTTGACGCATTTTTTAAATTAGATTGAGCTGCAACTTTGCAGTCATTGCGAGGCAGTACATTATTATGGTGTAATAAAGGATAGATGGAGTTTGTAAGTTAATGAGTCGCGCTTAGGTTATTGGAGCATAATAAATGTCGCGTTGATTTCAATCATGAAAGTGCTAAATTACTTTTACAAATTAACAAAAGCACAACTATGCGTGTTTTGAACTTGAACTGTAAATTAGGAAGATAATAAGGGTAGCGTTCAAGGCACCAAATAAAATATAACCGCGTCAGTTATCTCTAACCCTTTCTGTGTACTTCTGGTTCATAAATCTTGCGCGCTGTCGAGACGCGCTCCTTTCGCCATCGCCACAGTTTAACACCTACACGTACAGGGCGGTGCAAATTACAGATTCCATTATTTATCATTCGAGATAAAATAAGAAATAATCTAAAACTAATCTAATTTTATAGTCTAGTCTTAAACTAACTTTATAGCATAGCTTAACCTAGTAAATTGCATAATAAGTGATTTGAAAAATCATTGGAAGTTAAATGAAAGTTAATCTCTTTCGTTGCAGAAAATCAGCTGCTTTTCATAAAACTACTTAAGCCATCACAAACTTTCACTATTCAACTAAATAAATGTAGAAAATTAATATTATTTACACATACTTCATCAAACTCATTAAGTAATGGTAGTACAATAAAGAGATACACGAGGAAGTGCCTTCACAGGATCTTTTTATTTTTTTAACAAAACTCTGCATGTTTGTGTAAAACAACACACGTTTATACATTTACATATTACATTTAAACTTTGTGCATAAGCTATAGGTATAACAAATAATACGCTTTCCACGTTCCCCACGCACCGGTGCGCAAACTCACTTATCTTCCCAGATTTTGTTTTGAACGCGGCTCAAGTCAGTTTAAAACTTCGCAAAATAGGAACATACTCATCAAATTACGTTCTTCTAAGGAAATTATTTAAGCTATACTTTAATCATGAAGTCTCAATTGTTCCACAACTTTTGATTTAATTTGTTGTCAAAATACTCCGAGACTTAGACTGAGGTTTTATGAGACGTTTATTGTTGACTAGCTCGCGTGGAATTTTGTCTGCCACAGAAAAACTTAATCGCGCGCGTCTCTGTTTCAAAAACCGGGATAAAAACTATCCTATGTCCTTTCCCGGGACTCAAACTATCTCTATGCCAAATTTCATAAAAATCGGTTCAGTGGTTTAGCCGTGAAACAGAGACAGACAGACAGAGTTACTTTCGCATTTATAATATTAGTATAGATTACTATAGGTTAAAGCTTTATGAGACTCGACGATGTTTATGTCAAAACTGTAGAAACATAATATAAACATCATCATCAGGTTCAAATTTATCACTGCATACGGTGTGTAACNCATCACTGCATAGGTACGGTGTGTAACTAGATAATAGTACAGAGTATTAAAATAAAAAAGACAATGTTGCTAACATTGAATTGTACATTTCTTTCCGTGTACGAGTAGGAATGATTTATTACCTTCGCGCGAAGACACAAGGAAGTACGAGCGCGTGTTATGCGCAAATAAAGATAACCGTCATATTTGCAAATGTGCTGCGTACATCGTTAGTCTGTTTGCTCGGATCTAGGCGTTTGTTCGGCTTTATCTCAGATTGCTGGCTTTAATGTATATCTCCACAGTTCCCTGGGTTACGAGTTTAATTTAGAATCAGACTTCTGAACGAATTTATAAACTGAGAGTGTCTAGGTCTAGTGAGATCGCTTTTGCTGTCATTCAAATATCAGCAATAACCACTTAGTCTGCGGGCACGAAACTGGCGACGGCCGAGCGATGGCGGGGTGACGCGACGGCGGTGAGGCGGCGATGAGGAGTATTATTGCAATCCGGTGTTTGAGTAGCTTTAAAGTAATGTAGATATTATTATTGTTATTATTTTCTGCCTGCTTCACACACGCTCACACAAATACACTCATAGTACACAACACGCTCACATGCTCACCTAAGAGAGTACAATGCGCCAGAAAAATCTAGGTATTTTTTAAGCAATAAAGAGTAGAATTTATTTCATATTGTTAAGTGTTACATTTTTATATAAAAGTTTATATAATGTTTATGGTGAAATGCCAATGTTTATTGCGTCCCTGGTGACGCTCTTTTCAAAATGGTTCCTACAGAATACCAGCATCATGTTCTTTACGGAATATGATACAAGCTGAGTAGGAGCCATTTTGGTTCAACAATTTACTTATAATTACTATCCAAATTGTGTAAAATTACTATGTTTGAACCAAATAAACAATTTTTCTTTCTTTCTTTCAATCGCCGCTGCTCCGCCATCGCGTCGCCCCGCCATCGCTCGGGTCGCCAGTTTCGTGCCCGCAGACTTACTTTATCTTGATTTGCCACTGTATTATAATAAAAGAAAGTACAAAACGAGGTAAAATAACCGTTTATTACTACACGTGTAAGGAAAATGAACAAGAAAACCTTTTGGTTTATTATTATATTCATTATTCGTCTGTCACGATGATCGATATTATTTTTTATTCAAGTTCCCTTAAAATATTTATGTATAATATTCAGATTCTAATATATGCATGGCAAAAGGGACGTTGTTGCTGGGTTGCACCATCTTACATCTTACTTTAACCATGAAACAACATACTCGTAAGGTGCGGTTCGGAGCCTTAGAGGCACATCTCTCCTCTCCGCTCGATCCATTTCCACCGAGACTGAGCGGAAAGAGATGTGGAAATAACGAATTCAAAACACATCTCTTATTGTCTCCGCTTCTCTCCGTCTTGGTGGAAACCGGGCCTTGCTCTCGTCGCGACAAATGCAAATCTAATCGACGCGCGGGAAATTGCCCAAAAAGCGCCCTCTGCCGGGAGCGGGCGATTATTGTTTCCCGCGCATTTGGGACGAATCAATGTAATTTCCTGCGACGCCCTGATAACTCGCAGACTGATAAAAAAAGGATTTACAAGGAAACATTTTCTTTTCTTTGAGAAAAACCTTTTGTAAAGCAGATAAACGTCGTTGTGATGGAGACGGTAAATGTTTGGTTTTGATCACCTAATGACAGTGTAGGAGGGCAATATATTTTCTAAGGTAGCTAAAAGCTAAGGTAAAATAATTCTAAGTAGCAAACATTGATTGACTTGAACTTCGTCACGTATTTTCAGCAATTTCCAAATGTTTGTCTCGAACTTAAAAATTTTACGCTTCGTAATCACAAAATTAATAGTCTATAAAAAGGGACTGATGACTTTTTGACGACGTAATATTCTGTAGAACACTTGATCTATTCAAACAGCGGCGCACTAGCACGCGACGGGATCGCTCAGTGATATTATAATGCAGCGAACGACGGGGCGCGGCGAGACTAATAAGTTTTGAATAACAAATTGGTGTTATCTTGAGGGGATTAGATTGAGCTAAGCATAGCTAATGCCATTATATTTTATTCTCGTTCACACTTTTCACGACTCATGTATTTTTTATGAGATTTATAAAGTGAAAAATTTATTTGCCCTGACGCAGATGCCTTGTTAATGTATTTCTATAAGCAGAAAAATAAATTTAATGTAATAAAAGCAAATAAAAAGGCATTGTGAATCAACAGGCGAGATTAGATACGTTGCCCATTATTATAACGTGTAACTACAAAATCTTTATTGTTAGTGCTTTCCATTGATGAGTATTTTAATGAGGTTTCCTTTTCCAATTTCATTTAAATAGAGATGTTTGTTAGGAAGGAAAAAATAATTAACTTAATTGTTTGGATGACCTCACTAACTTTTTCAGACGCCGCAAACTCAGACGCCCAAGAGTTGAAAATACCAAATTAAGTTCGACCCTTTTCATTTAACAATAAGCTTTTAAATCAACTTTTTATATTGTTTTTCCTCTCTAAATAAAATTACGTTAATCAAGTTGAATGGTTCACATTTAAAATAACGAAATCTTTCTTCCTTTATCGTTAAATTATTAATTAATCTACTAAAACAGTATTCACGTAAAGTAATTAAAGAACTATTTGAACATAATTTCAATCAAACTCAAATGTTAGCAAAACAGTCGTCTAATTTGGACAACATCAAACAACAATAATGAAGTTCAATAAGTCGAACTAATGGGAACTGGATGAGGCTCGTGCTGGCCGTAACTAAATTAAACTGCCCACGTTTGTTGTTCCAGGTCCGCCCGTGATGAGGCTGCTGACGCTTCACATTTGTAGGTGAGTTGACTAAACCAACAGAACCTAGTGTTTATATTGAAATTCAATTGTTTATATTGATTCTAGCAAAATTAATCATCTTGTAATACATGAAAGAAATATGAAAATTTCGTTAATGTTAGAAAATTTTTAATTTGGGAAAAACTGAGATAGATAAAGATTGGTGATTTTCTTGATGCTACTGATTTGAGGCATAAGTGTTTGTTCACTGTCAAATTAAGTTCCAACGTATACATTCTCTGCAGCATCGGCAAGGGTGCGATAAAAACAACGGATCGTGTGTGAAAGCATTCATGATTCTCCATTCATTCCATCTGTGTTTCATGGCAAAATATAATGCGTAAAAATGTCGAACAAGTATTTTTCTGGGTTCGGTATACTAACGTGTGATAAATAAGTGAGCAAGCTCATGAAGTTCGGTCGTTTACTATTTCATTTGGAAGGTATTGTTAAAACAGACGCCTGCGTGAACAATGCCGATGAATGTGATCAATTAGCAAGTGCTCATTGGACGCAACCCGAGGAACCCTGTAATTAGCTGTCAGCAACACTCGCTAACAGCAGCTGAATGACCGCGGAAAATATTCACTTGCCAACAGCAAAAACTGTTGATGCAAATTGAACTTCAGATTATTTCAAATCATAATTAATAAAATATGGTTTCTTAGAGCTTTAATGGTTACAGTTTACACAAGTGAATAATTTTCAAAAATTGGCGCTAAAACCGGATAATGGGATTCGTTAGGTANATTCGTTACTAACGTATAAGTGTAATATGCTTTAAAAGTTAAACCTTAACCTTAAAGTTATAACAACTTACTTTTGAAAACAGAAACACAAGTTTTGTATCGTTGCAAGTTCTTGGCCAAGATTTTAAACGTGTGCTTTTATCTAATAATACTTACCTCCAAAATCATGAGTTTGAAAATTAGTTTAAATCTTAAATAAAAATGTATCTTAAATAACTAATAGACCATAATTTTTCCTTAAGATACGGAACCCTATAAAGCACAACAGTCCTATTGTTTGACGCGATACTTTTGTTCGAAACAAAAATTGGTTTTCGCGGAAAATTAACCATTTATCGTTTCCTATCAAAAGTAAATTAAAACAAAGAAATTAAGTTTCGTCGAATTCTCGTCAATTAAAAAACTAAGATAAGAAGTTATCGTTCGAAGTAACAGGAACTTAAAGCTTTTCCAGAATATTGAAGTGAAAAGTAAATATCTATTGAATTAACATTAAAAAGTTACCCCTTTAGTTATTATACGAGTAGGTCTAAATGGCCTGATTCTATTATTTTGTGTATATTTTGAAAAAAACGAATTGCCTAAGGTGGGAAATGACCCTAGGACCCTTCGTTTGCCGGGTGACTGCTCTCCAATCTTAAATTATGTTATTTTTCATAATATACATTTCAAGCTGTAGGTCCTAAGTACGTGTACCTAAACCTGTAAACCTTTAAGAAATAAAATTTTTGCACAAATACAATCTACCTTCCTACGTACTCAAGTCGCAATACCTATATGCCATGTTTATTCCGTACATCGCTCAAAAAATGTTTACGTAGGCCGCCCGTAACGTGTTTAGAACAGCAGCGAGATTAAAACACCGCGCACCGTTTATAAATACGGGCGCAACAACGGCTGCGCGCGCGCATCAATCTCGGCTCGGCCGCAAATATTGACGACAGTGAATTATGTTGCTGGCCGTAACTTATAACAGAACATTAAACTTCGATCTAGAACGTACTCTTTAATAAATCATAAAAAAACTAAACAAAATGAGGATTACCTACATCAACACATCTTATACGCTATCACTTTTCCAGACAGGTCTTGAGATAAAAATATTTAAAAAAAAAGGAAACTGTTACAAACGGTGATATACGCAAATAAATAAAATATGCGAGTAACCTAAAATACTACATGATTTACTGCAGTATTTGACTAACACGTTGCTCTGTCAAGTTTCATAGAAAGGGTTTTTTTTTGTTTTAAAACAAAGCGTTCGAAGTAAGAAAGTTTTGAGTAATCCGGCTCACCGCGATTTATAACACGAAAAGCGCCAAAAAACTATAGCTATTAAAGCAAGCGTTTTTTACGCATGTAAATTAGGTCTGTCAGTAACCCAGTAGGTACCTGTAGAAGCAATTATTAATTTTATTCAGGCCGTAAATTATCAATATTCACGTAAACAAAAAGCACGAGTCAACAATCAAACGCCGGGAGCGGCGCGCGCGCATTTAATTTTATATCAATTAAATTTTATTTATATCAACTCAATTTAATTTATATTATTTCAATTTTGTTTAATATTTCAATTCAATTTAATTTATATCTGATAATACAATTTAAATTAATATAATTTTTAATATAGAATTTTGGTTAGATTATCATTTCTCTTGTAGAAATTATTTAATCTATTAGTATTTTATGTTCTCGCCTTTGCTAGCTATACATACTTGCTCAAATCCGTGGTGGTGGGGGCCCGGTGACCTGTAACACAGGTATTCATTTACCTAGCTCAGGCTCCGGTCTCACACAATCATTAATGAGTTTTCTTTAATGTATTGTATATTGTATCCTGTATTTTTGTGTGAGAAATAAATAAATCTTATTATTATTATTATTATTATTTACGCGAGCATAACCACAGAATAAGTAATAGTACAGGTACTAAGGATTACTCCGCAAGACGATTTAAATAAATGCGAGTCTTGCTACGACGCGTTACAGTGGAATTCAGCTCGCACAGCACTACGTACCTACAATTTTATTCACCTACAAGTTTTGTCTCTTTCTATCGCGTGCCTCTGAACTCTTCTTACGCTGTTAGGGTTGCTGTCTAGTAGTGTCTAGTAAAAAAATAATTAATCTACTTATTTGTAATGAGGTACGTATGTAGGTAAGTACGTATTCATTATGGAAAACCTTGGGAGAGGCCTTTGTCCAGCAGTGGACGTCATTTTTGGCTGAAACGAACGAACGCATTCTGAGCAGTAGTCATGGTAGGTTAGGTTCCTATACTATCCTAAGAATTATTAATTACCTACATGGCCAACATACCTTTCAGCATCTTTGGGAAGCGAAAAAAAAGATAAATCCGGTAGATTTCTTTTCGAATTTAAACACCCGAACGCCGCGGCGCCGCACAATAATATTTCTTTCTCTTTATGTCCATTTTTAAATAATACTTCGATCATAGAATTATAATCATACTACAACGCACGCCAGCGTCCTGACGAGCGCGCGCGTGACACTCGACTGATATAATACCCGCCGGCGGGGCGCTTCGCTGTAGGTAATTATCGGATGTACCGCGCGGAGTGAGCCAGGCATGGCATAACATCTATTTTCTCCGCACACTAATGATTTTGAGGTGAAATATTATGAGGAATGCAACAATGAGGGCTATCGTTTTAGCGCTCACCAGTTGGCGCCACTGTAGAGTGAGATCCTGTCACTTGCTAGTAGCGAAGACAGTGGCGCTGGCTGGTGAGCGCTAAAGTGGTAGGAGGACTATCGCATTTGCACTCATCAAGATGGCGCCACTGTAGAGTAAGGTCCTGTCAATCGCCAGGGGTGCCAACTGTTAAGTATAAAAACGATAGCCCTCATTACAATAGGGTTTGCAAGTCAACAATTGTTCATACAAGTAATCTGATGACGCATGTAAGTTAATATTCTAAAAATTGCCTTCCTTCCTTCGATAAATTATCAACCTCAAACCGCTGTATTTGTTAATAAAACGTTTCTTGAAATGACTGTGTCGCACTTCTGTATGCGCCATTCGTTTATAAGCCAGCACTGCCAGCAGACACTGAAGCAGTACCCCAGCCGCCTGCGAGTGCGTCCATCAGTGTCCGCGCTTGAGGACTGACTGACAGCGATTGACAAGGGCCGCACAGTGCCCGTCTGTCGACACCATGCTCGCACCCGTTCTAATTCTGTACGAATCGGTTAAAGATAGTCTTGGGCTAGACATGATTTTCGAAATACAGCCACTGTTAGCAAGCGGAATGATGCGATTATTTACTGGTATTAACATCGTGCACTGACCTAAAGTTTAAAAAGAATTTTCTTTGATACTTTTAGATATTTGTAAATCATATTAAAATAATTATTTATAATTAAATATTAACAACGCTTCCCAATTTGTAGCAAAAATAATATTCTTAAATTAAATAATTTCAAACTAGGTATGTTTTTGTGAAAAAAATCAAGGAATTTATACACGACCTTCTTTCTCTATTGTTCTTCGGGCTTAATCAGGCTTATCGTGAAAGTACTTAGGTATTTAGCATTAATCGTCACCGCTCGATAAAACAAATCCGATTACTCGACTACCGACATTAATATAATCCCTTTTACTATTGTTCCAGGGCCCCGAATAACTTCCTCGAACCGAAGAAATAATCCGCTCACCAACACAAAATGTAAGTCGACACCTGGCACAACAACACAGAAAGGTTTAGAAAGCCCACTCCAAGTGGGTAATATTGGGTCACATATAATTTGGTTGATATTAAAAATCCGAAGAGACAACTTTTTATTTTTCAAATATTATACATTTAATTTACTTAGCCCTAAAAACCTCTAGTGTCTTTTCGCGCCGGCGGCGACCAAGCCACGTGACCAGGTAGGTCGCCTAATGCGCGAGGACACTAAGGCCGAGTTGCACCAACTTACTTTAACCGTAAATTTAGCAATAACCGGTGTTTTTTGTATGGAGTTTAACAAAATTTTGACATTTGTTAAAATAAGATGGTGCAAGTCAGCCTAAGTCTTTGTTCCCGAATCAAGTCTGAACAGTTGTAATTAAATTGTATTTGTGTCTTTTGATTAATTTCCTTAATTTGATTTGATCTCGAGTGAGAAAACACTTTAGTAAGTATTCACTTCAAGAATCTGTCAAACAGTCGCTTGCACGTGGCGTAAAGTTTGTTGCCAGTGCACTGCCCGAGCCTACTACGCGCTACGCCCACCGCGCGCCTCCACTGTAAGCGCTTTTAGCGGTTATTACGGATTAAGCCCTCAAAGGGCACCACTTGACATTTGTGAATTCAGATATCAGTTCAGTTATTTTGATAATGTCAGGAGTAATAACCTCGAATAACCTAATTAATTTCGAGCAAAATGGTTCGATCAATAGTAATATAATGCTATTATATACCTACTTTATAAATCGGATGGCGTGCGGTTTCATGAATGAACTATTGTTTTTATTTATTAGGTATTTAATGTAATACGCATATTTATTTTGTTTCAGGTGAGCATCTTCCTAAAAGTATCTTCATTCTTCAAGAGAACCATTTTGCCATCAATATGGAGTTAGAGGACGTGGAAATGTACCACGCGACCAACGAGTCGTACGACTACAACGGCACGTACAACGGCACCTTCGAGAACTGCCCCAACATCAACCTGCCCGTGGTGTACGTGGTCACGCAGGTGCTGTACGCGCTGGTGTGCGTGGTGGGGCTGCTGGGCAACACGCTCGTCATCTACGTCGTGCTGCGCTACTCCAAGATGCAGACCGTCACCAACATGTACATCGTGAACCTGGCTATCGCCGACGAGTGCTTCCTCATCGGAATCCCCTTCCTCATTGTCACAATGTCGCTCCGCTCCTGGCCTTTCGGACGCTTTATGTGCAAAGCGTACATGATCTCCACCGGTATCAACCAGTTCACCAGCAGTATATTCCTCTGCATCATGAGCGCCGACAGATACATCGCCGTCTGCCATCCCATAGCTGCTCCTCGACTGCGGACCCCGTTCGTGTCCAGGGTCGTGTCCGCGGCCGCCTGGACCGCGTCAGCTCTCGTCATGACTCCAATATTCATGTACACCACACTCATACCGACGGAGAACGGCCTGTCCTGCAACATCGTGTGGCCCGAGCAGGAGTTCAGCAAAGGCCAAACCTCGTTCACGCTCTACTCGTTCGCACTCGGCTTCGCCGCTCCGCTGACTCTGATCTTCGTCTTTTACTGCCTCGTCATCCGAAAACTAAAGACTGTCGGTCCAAAGAACAAGTCCAAAGAGAAGAAGCGATCTCACAGAAAAGTCACAAAGTTGGTGCTCACCGTGATAGCGGTATACGTCCTCTGCTGGTTGCCATACTGGGCGTTCCAGGTGGCCCTGATCTACTCGCCGCCGCGAGAGTGCGCGAGCCGCATCACGATCACGGTGTTCCTGGTCGCCGCGTGCTTCAGCTACAGCAACTCCGCCATGAATCCGATTCTGTACGCGTTCCTGTCCGACAACTTCAAGAAGAGTTTCCTGAAGGCGTGCACGTGCGCCGCGGGCAAGGACGTGAACGCGACGCTGCACGTGGAGAACAGCGTGATCCCGCGCAAGCGAGGCGGCGGCGCGGCGCGCGCGCAGGCCAAGGCGCTGGAGCAGGCGCGCGGGCCGGCGGCGGGCGCGGGCGGCTCGCGCTCGGAGGCGTCCACGGCGCTGACGTCGCGCTCGGTGGCGGCCAGCGAGGCGCTGCCGCTGGAGGCGCGGCCGGCCACGCTGGCGCCGCTGCTGGCGCCCAACGGGCTGTCGCACTCGCGCCTCTGAGTGCCGGCGCGGCGCGCCCCCGCCGGCCTCCCGGAGGAGGACACGCTCATCGTCTCCATCGACTAGATCGCCGCGCGGGCGGCCGCGGGACCCGAGCCCTGTCCCGCCGCCGCCGGCTCCCGTCGCACCGTTAGCTTTAGGTTGAGAGAGGACCATCGTTCCTGATTCGTGAATGTTTAAAATCCCTTGCGTTTTCTGTACACAATTGTGTGTGAGTTGAAACGGTTGATTCGGCCTAGGGTTGTAACGATGAATTTATTAAGGTGTAATTTTTTTATCGCAAGGCGACTCCTAAGGTTTACTGTTTGTATACCATTAATTATGTAATTAATTAATTTGTAAAAATGTACATATCGTGTAAATATTCATACAAATAATTGTCATTACTATATGTCACAAGTTGTAATAAAATTACTTTCGTGAAAATTGATGTTGGTTCATTTTTAATTTATAATTTTAAGCTGTTGTTAACGCCATCTATCGGCTACATACAAATACATGCTAACGCCATCTATCGACACATCTGCACATATAACACGCATGAAGTTGGTTACGAGCAAGGAGCCTGGAGGGGAGCGCGGGGGCGGCCTGCGTCAACTTCACTCGATTACCAGCGAAATACGAACTCACAAACGGTTGTAAATTAATTTTCAAAGTAATCTAAAATAATACTCGTACGTTTTCTTCAACATAAAAAGTCGAGCGTACTTCATTTAAACGTCGCGTCGAAACAGCTGTACTTATTCGTTATTGAGATTGGCACCACTTTGGGACAATAATATCGGCTGATGCTGACAAGATTGCAAGGTCAGGTTCCTAATTTACAAAGCCTATTTGCAGAAAATTAAATTAGGTACTTCAACCCCAACAAATAGAAACTAGTGGGATATAAAAAATAGGGTAAGTGCACATAAGTAGGGCCTCAGCAAACGAAAGATCCATAAGTCAAACGTTCGGTGTCTATATTCTAAACACCGTCTATTTCAGTTGCGTCAGTAACACAAACAAGACTTTCCTCAGGAATGCGACTGATGAATAAGTGCTAAACTCTGCTATTCGCACGTCACTCACTCGAGGAATAAAGATTTTAAAGCGGTTATATTTAGACATAAAATAATAATTAGGCAGTTAGACATTACTAAAACGCAGAATAAAGGTAGGATGGAATATTGAGGAACATGCTTGTAAAGTCTCTCAAATATATCATCGAAAAATTCAGATCACATTACCTGGGTATGATACAATAAAAAATAAAAAAGAGCAACCTAGGTACAAGTAGGTAAATATTAAAAAACGATAAACTGAAACCAATTTACTTAGCTTTAGATTAGTAAACTGTTTGCATAAGCAAATATAACAAGACAAATCTCGGCCCTTTATTAGGTAAGATATGAATTTACTCATACTCACTTAGCAACGAAGATAATTTCAAAATGAAATAGTTATGTTTATTACCCCGCGAGTAGTCGAGCAAGTTTATTAATTACATATTTTATTCAGCTCCATACACTTAGGTACCTAAGGTGCAGCAGGTTAATTAATACTCAAATTTCTACTGCTGCTTTATCTAATACTCGTAGAAAGAAATTTACAAAAAACATTTAATTTAGATAAATTAATTGTTAATCTTTGTTCAATGTACTTTATTTTTAAGCCATGATTTGCAATCTGTTGCTGTACCTTAATAAATAAATAAAATAAAAATAACTTAATTATGTGACGGAACTCGAAACAACGATCGGTCATTTAGTTACCTGGAATGGTCCTGTAAGAAGAGTTGTTGTATTGTGGTAACAGATAGAACTTGTATCATTAACGTATTTTACATCACTCTCTAGGTGGGTTAATAGACATGTACCTACCAGGTATTTGTAAGTAGGTACATAATTTAAAAGTCATTCAATAAATTAATTACACGTGTGCGATTCCCGATTCTACGTATTTCTGAACCACTCGAACGCTGCGGCAGCACGAGAGGGCTCGACCCTTCGAGTCGAAATAAGCTTTCCAAATCAGCGTTTTAAGGAATGGTTAGGTGAATTGTATGAGATTTAGAATTCAAACGACTTCATAATTATTCTCCTGCCATACACCCTTAATCCTTACTAATGAGAGGCTCATGCGGCGACATAATGGAGGCGAAGTGACTTCTCAAAACTGGCCATAATGGAGGCCAAAAAGAAAAGCGTCGAGGGGCGAGTCATGCTCCGTGATCCTTCATGGTTTGACAGCGTAAGTATATTCTGACGTGTAAAGTAACCCCTCATTATAAGAAACAAAGCGTACAGGTTCGATTCCTACGCATTACAATCAAGAATTCCGCACACAATAAATTAATATGGGTATCTTTGTAAATGTCGTCGAATGTCACGATAAAATTAAATCGTGTCTTCCTGGTCCAAATTAATTGTAATATTACGATTATCCCTAACGTAATAAAAGGAGTATAAATCGATCTTCGAGCGATGATGACTGGCGCATACATTAGGCTAAACCCGAAAATTCTTCAACGCACGCAAATGTGTTGCGTACTGCGGCATACATAGATTCGTAAAATAATAAGTAAAGGCTGTTCTGCATGAAAATGTTTTAAGTTTGTAGAATTTGTTAGAAAGCCACTGATGCCCTTGCTTTATGCAAAGCGTCGTTATGCTTATGACTGTCCAGCTCTACATTAGCATACAAATAGCCGGAGCCTTGCCGAATGAATATGCTCCCCGGCCAATATCCAGAAATTCCAGAATAACGCCGGCGAAGCCGTCATATCCAGCCTCCTTTTCAGTCTGTCTAGACTGAAGTTAATAAACGTCCACTCGTTTTCTCCCCAATCTTATAATAAGGACTCAAGTTTAAGTGGCCAGGACAATAAGTTAGTTTCAATTTTTATAAAAGCTTGTTACGAGCATATGCTCAGTTGTGCTGATCATTACAAACAGCTTGGATAACATTTAAAATTAAAAAATATGAACTTAATACTTAGAATAAGCCCCTGCCATACGTTTAAAAATGACATAAATACACTCAGCGGAACGGAATTTGGCCCAAGCCTAAACAACCAGATATGAGGCCAAATAGGTGTCGTATACCTAAGTTTCGTGTGACATGTTAACAGAACATTTGTTTTTGTTAATTTAAGAGGCTAGATTAATAAAAAAGTGCGTCTGTTTAACTTTTTTGACTCTAGAAACGCATTTCGTTGTTGGAGCGTAAAGATTACGGGTAAGTTTAAATTCGATATTAAATGTTGTAAGGGTTTGGTGTTTTGTTTTTTGTTTTTAAATTAATCTTAGTTATTCTCGATTCCTTAATTTGAGAATAATGCCCATTACTCCAGCTCAAGTTGCTCAAATAGTGTTGCTTAGAAGTCAAGTGCGTATGTAGCGGGAGATGGCTGAAACTTTCAATTTATGGCGTACAACGTTAAAAAGGCATGACCAGACCGCCATTTACACGAGAAGACCAAGAAGTGGGGAATTAAGGTGTATGTCAGCGCGCGATGACCCGATTATCGTGCTTGCAATATCAAGAAATCCGGTTCTCACTACGTTTGAGATACGCCAGCGTTTAGAAACAGCAAGCCCAGTGAATATCAGTGAGCACACAATAAGAAGAAGGATGGAGGATCATAACCTGCATACTCGAAGACCAGCTCGAGGACCAGAACTTCTCCGATACCTTCGCGAAGTGCGACAGACGTTTTCTAGAGAACATGCAAATTGGACGCAAGGCTAATGGAGTAAAGTTCTATGGATCGATGATTGCAGAGTCACCTTAAGAGCTCCAGACGGCCGTGAAAGTGTATAGAGAAGGTGCGGAGAAGAATTACTACGCGAACAGACAGTTTTCATAAAGAGATTAACTCCATTAGTCTAACGTCCAATTTGCATGTTCTCTAGAAAACGTGAGTCGCACTTCGCAATGGTATCGGAGAAGTTCTGGTCCTCGAACTGGTCTTCGAGTATGCAGGTTACGTTCTTCCATCCTTCTTCTTATTGTGTGCTCACTGATATTCACTGGGCTTGCTGTTTCTAAACGCTGGCGTATCTCAAACGTAGTGAGAACCGGATTTCTTGATATTACAAGCACGATAATCGGGTCATCGCGCGCTGACATACACCTTAATTCCTTACTTCTTGGTCTTCTTGTGTAAATGGCGGTCTGGTCATGCCTTTTTAACGTGTATCTTAAGTTTGTACGCCATAAATTGAAAGTTTCAGCCATCTCCCGCTGCATACGCACTTGACTTCTAAGCAACACTATTTGAGCAACTTGAGCTGGAGTAATGGGCATTATTCTCAAATTATGGAATTGAGAATAACCTTAAGATTAATTTAAAAACAAAAAACAAAACACCAAACCCTTACAACATTTAATATCGAATTTAAACTTACCCGTAATCTTTACGCTCCAACAACGAAATGCGTTTCTAGAGTCAAAAAAGTTAAACAGACGCACTTTTTTATTAATCTAGCCTCTTAAATTAACAAAAACAAATGTTCTGTTAACATGTCACACGAAAATTAGGTATACAACACCTATTTGGCCTCACATCTGGGTGTTTAGGCTTGGGCCAAATTCCGTGCCGCTGAGTGTAAAAACACAAATAACTTAAGAACGGAACATACCACTACCTACTTATTGCGTGCAACAAAATTAAAACCAACTAGCTTTTAAGGCTGAGAACCATAATAAACAAGAGAGAGACGAATAATTATTAATAAATAGTCTATTCGACCGGCAAATATTCCGTCGCAAGTACGAGCGAAGTCGGGAAAGTTCGAAAATGAGTAAAGTTGAGGCGTCACGTATGAAATGTATAATCATAGCACAGCGGACAATGGTGCAGTGGGGCCGCACTCCGGCGACGACGTCACCACATGAAGTGATTTGGAGGCTATTGGTAAGTGAAGTTTAAACAAGACTAGAATGTTTACGCCGTGGAATCTATGCTTTTAGTACACTACATGATGTGAAGCATGATAATTTATATATTAACAAACTTGATAGATATTATGAACACTTAATAAAATTATGCCTATGTCTTGTTAGGTAAATTCGTAGTTATTAAAATTTCTAGCGTTAAGAGTTCTATCTCAATCTAAATTAATCTTAATTGTGGGTTCGCCACCTTAGCCAGTTATATTTTTTCAAGTTATTATAATTTTACTACTTTACTACTGATGTGAGCTACTGCATGGAACTCCAATGTGCTGCTAGTCTAGTTTGAAATACGCTAAACCTCCAGCAGGGACCGGTAGGTATGGTCTCCGGAATGATTGCACGCGGCCGTGTGCGTACTTGATTGGCGAAGTTAAGCGATTCATGTTGGGGCCAG